AAAAAAAAAAAAACAGGTCTCAGCAATCAACGGATCCGGCCGATCGCCACGCGCACTGACCTTGGACCACGCCCGTACCGCCCACCCCGAGATCCCACTCACGGGCCGCCTGCCCTCATCCTCGCCGCACGCCATCACGGTTCCCGGCGCGGTCCAGGGGTGGTCCGACACGCTGTCCAAGTTCGGCACAAAGTCGTTCACCGAGGCGCTAGCGCCCGCAATCGAGCTAGCCGAGTCCGGGTTCCCGGTGTCGGCGTTCTCGGCCTGGCAGTGGGGCAAAGCGGCGTCGCGGCTGCTGTCCGTGTCGCCCAATGGATTCGAGATGCTGGTTCCCGACGCGACTGCGCCGGGCGGGTACCGAGCACCCAAGGAAGGCGAGATGATGCGCAACGGTACGCTGGCGGCGACGCTGCGCAGTATTGCGAGCGACGGCGCACGGGACGGGTTTTACCGCGGCCGGATCGGACAAGCGATCGTGGACGCCGTGGGCAAGATTGGTGGAACCCTGTCGCTTGACGACTTGAGCAACCACACGTCCACGTTCGAGCCGCCCGTCTCCACCGAGTACGCTGGAATGCACTTGTGGGAGTGCGCGCCCAACGGCCAGGGACTGGTGGCGGTATTGGCGCTGGCGATTCTGCGCACCGCGCACGAGGTTGGGGTGTTGGCGGCGCCGCTCGAGGACGCGATGCGGGCGTTCTGGGCGAATGACCACCACCACCCGCTCGCGGTCCCGGTGCCCGTGGCGCACGTGCTGACGCAGGCGCTGGCCATGGCGTTTGCGGACGCCCAGGCGCGGATCACGGACCCGGAATGCGTTCCTCCCTCGGCCATCGTCGGCGAACTGCTGGCGCCTGGGCACTTGACGGTGCGCGCGCGGCTGTTGGTCGTGGACGCGAGCTTGGCCGGTGCAGTTAGCGAATCGCCGAAAGCAGCGGCAACGGCGACGTTGGCGGCACCCCGACACTCGTCCGACACCGTGTACCTGACGACGGCCGATGCGGAGGGAAACGCGTGCTCGTTCATCTTCTCCAACTACATGGGGTTCGGGAACGGCACGGTCCCCGCCGGGTGCGGGTTCACGCTGCAGAACCGCGGATGCAACTTTGATCTGGACCCGTCCGCCGCCAATGTCCTGGCTCCCAACAAGCGGCCGTACCATACGATTATCCCGGCGATGCTGACGCGGCCCACCAATGATCAGGCAGCGTCAGAACTGGTCGCAGCGTACGGGGTCATGGGCGGGTTCATGCAGCCGCAGGGCCACGTTCAGGTGCTGCTGCACTGGCTGGCCCGCGGCGGCAACGGGTCGTCGCCGCAGCTGGCCATGGACGCGCCGCGACTGTGCATTCAGCCGATCGCCGAGTCGACTGACCGCGCGGCGCTGGTGGTGGATGTCGAGGACGGATTGTTTGGGCCGGGAGACGCGACGGACGCGGGCGCGGCCGAGCTGCAGCGCATGCTCCAGAAGCACGACACCGAGCACGTTGTCACGGTGCGCGTGGTGCGGGGCGCTGCGCGCGCGCTGTTTGGCCGCGGGCAGTGGATCGGGAAACTTCCTGGTACACCTTCCAGTGGGTGGGTCGGTGCGAGTGACGGGCGTGCGGACGGGTGCGCGTTTGGATGGTAAATTGTACATGTTTTGCATTTCGAATGTTGGAATTCACTTGCGCGGACGGCCACGCGTCGCGGCTCCACCGCGAGCACGCTTTGCGCCGCCTTGCTTGAGTTGTTGCTCGGCCTGTGTGACATTATAAGTCAGCGGTGGATCGGATCAGGGCAAACCCTTCAAAAGGGAAGAGGGACGTACTTTGCGCTTCTTGGTGGCAGCGGCGAGCTGCTCGTCCGTCTTGGGCACCACTTTGAAAAAGTTGTCGAGACGGCCCTGTACTCCGCCCGATTTCGACTTGCGCAGCTTGGCTACGCCATTTCGGATACGGTCCTCGCTAAGAATTGGTGTCGTTGAGTCTTTAAAATCAAGGAATATGAATGGAGGTACACACTTGAATCCCTTTTCCTTGACCATAAAGTCGACCAGGCCCTCCTCATCGGGATCCACCCACTTGACCTGTTGTATAAAAATGGATCAATCAGTCGAAATCTCAACAACAAAAAAAAGAGACGTACATCAAGGTCCTCTGTGACAACAACATCGGGCTCCTTGAACAGCGCACGTGCCTCCTCGTAAGGCCACTCGTCCGGGACCGTCAACTTCTTGGCGTCCGCGCTAGCCAAGATCGTCTCAATCGACCCGTGCTTCTTGATGAGCTGCAGCGCCGTCTTGGGCCCGACACCCTTGATCGGCTCCAAGTAATCGCACCCGAGCAAGATGCACAAGTCAATAAACTGGTCCTGCGACATTTCCAAGCCGCGAAGCGCTTCCTCCAGGTTGATTTCCTTGATGGGCATTTTGCGGGCTTCGGAGAACGTCAGGTGTCGGAGCACGATCGGAGAACCGAACGTTAACGTGTCCATGTCCTCGGTGCCCGCCGCGTACACGATCCCCGCGGCGGCAAGGCGCGCGCATTGCGCCTCGGCCTCGCACGGAGCGTCTACGTAGGGTACGCCCATCAGTGTCAGAAGCTGCTTGCACTCGTCCGAGTGCTCGCGGGTCGCGCGCACGGTCCGGCGCGAGAATTTCTCGATTTGCTCCGTGTCCCCTTTCGTATTCACCAAGTTGAGCTCAAAGTACTGTGAGCGTGCCAAAAAAAATATAGAGTACCCTTTTCTTGTGCATCGGACAAGCTCTTTTCCGCGTCAGCGCGTTTCTCGGACCGTTTGGCCAGCTCGCCCGACTTCATGGTCGGCGGCTTGCCGTCAAACACGTACAACGGCTTGATGCCGTTGTCGAGCATGCGGATCGTGCGGTAAAACATGCCCATGAGGTGCGACGTGGTCTCGCCCGCATCGTTGGCGAGTTGCTCGCCGCCGGACCGCACCGCAATCAGGAACTGGTAGATGGACATGGACGCGTCAATGGCCACTTTACGGCCGAAATACGCCTTGATGTCGTTCTCCTTGATGCACACGGGAGCATTGTCGCCAAGGAGCTGCGTGAGGCCCTTGATTCCCATCTTCAACGGGTTTTTTTATGTTATCGAGGTTGAGGTTACAGGAGGATGAAAGAGAGATGCATTTCGACGTTCAGTGAGATGCAGAAACAGGCATCATGGCCGTCTCCAGTTCGCGAAACAGCCGGTGCACGGGCAGCCCGACGACATTGTAGTAGCATCCGTGAATGCCCTTGATGAGCGGGCTGGCAAGGGACTGGTACCCGTATCCGCCAGCCTTGTCCCTGTTTATATTTTTAATGAGTCACTTTTTTCAATCGCAAAAAAAAGGAACGAACGTACATGGGATCCCCGGTACCAACGTACCAGTCGATTTCCTGGTCCGAGACGGCGCCAAACGAGACCGTCGTGGATTCATGGAACGTCACGATCCGCTCGCCCCCCGGCGCCGCCGGATCGTCCAGGACCAAGCACATGCCCGTGACCACCTGGTGATCGCCTGCATCGCGCAAACGCCGCAAAATCGCCACCGCATGTTCGACGTCGTTGGGCTTTTCCAGGATCTGGGTGCCCAGGACCACCACCGTGTCGGCTAGGCTCCATTGTGTCGTCAGTACCTCACCATGTGTAAATGGAATGCTGTAAAGTTACCTCCAATCACGACATCGTGGGTCTGTCCAATACAAAATCAGTCCACACAGCACTTTATGCAATGAAATAAGGCACGGCCGAACCTTGCCCTCCTTTTTCAGCGCGTGAAACACCTCGAGCGCCTTCTCGCGGGCATTGGTGACCACGTAATCGGCGGGGGACGCAAAATGCGCGTGATCAAGGTCCTCGGCAAATGTCGCGCCGCGGACCTCACATGGCACGCCCTGTATTTTTTTTGTATGAATATTGGTTCCGTAAAAGTCCGAGGAGAAAGTGAACCAGAGTCCGCAGAATCTCGACGCGACGCGGAGACTTGGACGCTAGCAGCACTGATTTCTGGCGCAGGAGGTTGTGGATTGTGGTGGTCATTTTTTTTTTTTTTTTTCGGTTCTCTTTCAATTGAATTCAAGAAGAAAAACCGCTGAAAAATGGCCGCCTCGATCCTGCCTCGCGCTATTGTCATTGGCTCTGACCACGGAGGATTTGCGCTCAAGGAGGAGATCCGCGCACACCTTGCCGCCAAGTTTGCTACCATCGCTGTCGAGGATGTGGGCTGTTACTCGACTGACCGCGTACGATTTTCACTTTTCTGTTTTCATTTTGATTCTCATTTGAAATGAACAGGCAGAGTACCCGGCGTACGGCAAGCTGGTTGCCAGCAAGGTGACCAAGGATACCGACGGTTCGAACCAGTTTTCACTACTTTGAGCTTGACATAGCTATTAAAAAAAGACCACCAATAACAGCCGCGATGCCCGACACGATCGGCATTGTCGTTTGCGGCTCTGGTATCGGCATCAGCATTGCCGCCAATGTCCGTTTTCTTTTCTCCTTTTTCTTTTCCAAATTCGGGCACTCACTGGTGCGAACACACGTTATACAGAAAGTCGAGGGCGCCCGGTGCGCGCTGTGCCACGACCACTACACGGGGAAGATGTCGCGCATGGTACAGATACACTTTTCTTTTGTCAGTTCGCGACCCAACAAATCTCATGCTGAAAAATTGCACGCAGCACAACAACGCCAACGTCCTGGCGCTCGGTGGGCGCACCACGGGCCCCGACGTGGCCAAGGAGATTGTCGATGCGTTCCTGACCACTGCGTTCGAGGGCGGGCGTCACGGCGATCGCATTAAGCTGTTGTAATGAAATATGGATCTGTTTTTTATTTTTGAATCCAATGGATGTCTTCTTGCTCCAAGATGTTCGCGTTAGTCCTGGGACCTGTGCGGAGGACAAACGTCGGGGAAGACGGGCAATTAGACTCTAATATATATTCCCAACAATAACGGGAACGTCATCTAGGGATAAAGCTCCTGTAGCTCAGTGGCAGAGCGTCTGTCTTGTAAACAGAAGGTCCCGTGTTCAATCCACGGCTGGAGCAGATACCTCATTATTATAAAAGGGGCTTTTGCATTCTTTTTTTACACATTCTCACTCTTTTTTTGCTGAGCGTAGTTTTGTGCCGAGGGTCTTGACGGGAGATGGGACCTTATTGACTGACACTGAAAAGAGGTGGCGAATCCGGTGCATGCGTTACCGCGGACCGATCAAGCTGCTTTGAGCGCTGAACAGTGGTTGTCTCAGACCCTGTCTCACCGAGCCAAGCACCATTTTTTTTCCCTTCGCTCCAAATACCCCACTCTCTCTCCCGTCCTTCAAGCGTCTAAGCACTCAAAACAACATCCTTTCGATTCGGATCTTTACTCTTCATCATTTCAGTGCTTTCGTTCGATCAAGTATTTAGCGGGTGCCGGCGGTGGTAGTGGCCGTGGCGGAGCTCGTGCCCTGGCCGGTAGGTTAGTTCTTCAGATCCCTTCTCGCCAACACCACTCACTCCAACCTGCTTGCACAAAGAAGGCCGGATCACGTCGCGGTTGTTTTATTATATACTTTATCTATATATTTGATATAAAGTTACCGGTCGATCGTTCGTACCTCATGTCCAGCTCAGGGTCATCTTCTCCAAATAATGTTTTGACACTTCAATTTTATCACTTTCAGATATTTCAATATGCATAGATTTCATAAATGGATCAACATAATCCGTTTGCGGCCACTGAGCTGCCAGCCGCCTGGACCAAGTTCGCGGCCACGGTCCTGGCCATGGATCGCGGATTGGCGCGCGCCAACACCCCGATCGTGCTGGCCTCGACCTTGAGCGGATGGATGGATCCGCCGTTCGCACAGCACTGGGCAGCAAAGAGCGAGGCGATCCTTGCGTCCCTCGCGGTCCTCTTTCTAGAGGCGTACAAGGTCACCGCCGTGGACTCGATCCTGGTCTTCGAGGGTCCCGGCCTGGAAGTCTCCGACTGGAAGTTGTCGATGAACCAGTCGTGGGTATTTTCGCTTGCGTGGCACAAGGATCTGGTTGGTCTCAGCCTCCCACTCAAATCAATATAAACCATTTATTATATTTACTTTAGTAAGTGGATGCGAGCCCCAACCGCTTGCTCATGACCTCGAGCGCGCTCTCGGCGGGATTCCACACGTGGTGCAGCCGGCGCGTGACAATGGCGGCGCGCACGCGGTCCACGTACTCGCGGTCGTCCGCCGGAGCAGCAGCAATCACCGCGCCCAGCACCGTGGGTGGTGCCCGGGCTTGAATCAGCGCCAGCGTTCCGGCAATGCTGGACGCGGAAATCACGGCCTCGGGCCAGTGCACGTGGAACCACGCCAGCGTCACCGACACAGCCCTGTCGTCAAGACAGTCGTTGACGTTAAGAAACACGCCGCGCAGATCGGTCCGCGTCGCATCGGTCCAGGTCCGGTGAGGGCACGCGGATTTGAGGGCCGCCAGTAAAAGGGTTGAGCCGGACGTCACCGCGTTGCGGACCAGCAGCTGGAACTGGTTGGCGGTCGTGGCGTACCCGGCAACCCATCGCGTAAAACGGTTGACGTCGGAGAGCAAAAGGGCGGTGTCGCCGAGCAAGCACGCGGTCACCAGGACCATGCGCACGCTCGCGGTCATTGCCTCTGAGCCGGTCGGGTCCAGGGCGGCCAAAAGACGGAAACGCGCGTGCTCCGCTACCTCGGGTACGGGAGCGAGCCGCGACACGTACACCGCCCACTCGGGGTTCCACGGCACCGTACCCCCACCATTGTCGCCAGGAACGTCCACGGGCGCGTCCCAGATCGCGCCAAGCGCTTCCGGTGTCGTGACTTGAATGGCGGCGATGATGGCGCGCTCGTGCGGCTCCAGCATCTCCAGCAACGGCGCATCGTCCAGCAACACCGCGCGCGTGATCGCCGCATTATCATCGGAGGTGGTGGCGGCGAGGAACGACCGCCACAGTAACGGGAACGCGGGCGTCGCCGACCCCTGAGCGGCGCTACGTGCCAGCAGTCCGTGCGCCGCGTACACTTGCAGCACCGCCGCGCGGTTGTGGGAGGACAAGTACTGGACGAGCGCGCCGAGCATGCGCCAGGGGGCCGAGTCCAGCGGCTGGCTAGGTGCCAGGAACGGCGCAGCGGTAAAAGCCCCCGACTCTTCCACGGACCGCAAAAAGTCGTCGAGCGAGTCGGCGCGGTCCAACAGCGACTGCACAATGATCCCCATGACCGGGTCCGCGTAGCGGCTGATCTCAGCGGGGATCGGGGTTTGGGCAGACCGCAACGCGGATTCCAGCGCGCCCCACGCCCACGCGGGCACACGCGCCACCCCGGCCCCGCCCTGCCCGGCAAACATGCGAACCACCGTCGCGCGCGTGATCACGATTTCGACTGCGGCCGTGAACCCGACTCGGTCCACGGCGTGCCGGTTCCAGATCGCCACCGACGCACGGTGCCATTCCTCGGCGGACACGGGCGATTGGTGGGTTGACGGTAACGGTTGGGCGAGCAGTGCCAGGCCACGAGTATCGAGGGACCGGGCGGCGCGCGAAAAGGCCACGTTGAATGGCGTCGACAGTGGGCCTGCGACACCAGAGCCGTAACGAAACCGTTCTTTTTGGGTATTGGATGAGGGATCGGCCAAGGGACGGTATTGCGGCAACAGCCGCTCCACTGTATCCCACTGGGTGTTGGCCAGCGCCCACCCGAGCTGTTCGGGAATGAAGGCGGTCATGGGGAACGGGTTTAAGGCTCGGCATGTCTGGCGTAACCGGGCGACGCAGTGCGCGTGGGGTAGGAAAAACTGCAGCTCTTTCCAGATATCGTCCGGGAGGAGAGCGAATTGGCCGCCTGGGGTCGGCGCGATCGATAGGAACGCCAGCATTGCGGTCATGGCGGGCGAGTCGGTGGTGGTGCTCATTTTTTTGTCAAGAAAAAAATTGCGATGAGAAAATTATTAAATACTGCGAGAGAAGAGAGATGGACGGGTGAGTCACACTTTCTTAGGCCGCGGCGATTGCGACCGATCCGCCCTCACCAACAACGCACTTGGTCCCGTGCGCCAGCGTCACGTCCCACCACCGCCCAACCGCGTACTCGCTGAGCTCGGATCCGTCCGTCGAGCACCGCAGCGCGCCGTCCAGCGGCACTTGTACTGCTCCGTTACTGCTGATTGGCACTGGCACCGATACGGGAACCGATTCGGGTACGGCCGCCGCCACGGCCGCTACCACAGATGCAGTAGAACCGCCCTCATCGCTTGAACTGGGACCACTGGTGCACCGCGACCAAGTGACGCCGGCAATGCGGCCCCGAGAAGCGCTCCCGGCGCCAAACAACGCCGTAAACACCGCGGGCGTCATGTCCACATCGCCCGTTGCGCACTCGGGACACTTGTCAGCGACGGTGGCCGAGACCGACGACCCACCGTATGAGATCTTGACACAGGAGCCGCAGATGGCAGCGCCGGACGCGTAATCGACGGCGGGGAGGGCGACGACTAGTTGCGTGTCTTGAAGAAGGTTGCCGCACGAGCCGTAGCCGCCGCCTGGGTTCTGTTTTTTTGGTTTTTTTGGTTTGTTGTTGGTGTGAATGACTTCGATTTTCTCACTTGACAGAATCAACAAAATCGTACATAGAAAGTCGCTTCGCCGCGCTTGCCAAGTGAAGAGGAAGTAGAGGAGAGTGAAGAAGATGAAGATGAACGCGAGAGCAACAACCCAGCAGATCCATGGTACACTTTGGTCGTGGGTGCTGCTTGGCCGCTGGTCGCGATCATGGAGAGGACGAGGAAGAGAGTGGCAATAGTGGCAAGCATTTTTGTTTATGTATGAAGAAGGTATCAGTTGAGTTGATGTGTATATATGGTGGGAGGGGGGGTGTCTTGATAACTTTTTTTGGAAAAGAGAGAGCGAGGAGGAGGGACGGGGGAGGGGTTTTATAGCTTGGGCATGCAATGCGATGTGAAAATGGGATGGGAGACCACCCTCTTTTCGCTTTCAATCAAAACACTTTCGCGCGCCCGCGATAGTCGATAGTGGGGGAAAAAGTTTTCTTGTGAACCATCAATGGTCATACTTGCCCAATGAATGGGGTACCAGGCCGACTTGCACGAAAGGGGAGGTACATGAGAAGTTGTGACGGAAGTCTTATTGTGCATCTAAAATATCAACAAATCAAAATGACAACTTCATTCGAGGCCGCCAACGACGCGTTCTTGGCCGAACTGCGCTCCCACGGAGCAGTGGTCTCCGACGTAATCGCCGTTGCCGACTACACGGCCGAGCACGCGGGCCGCGGCATCGTTGCCAACGCCGACATAGCCCCTGAAACCGAATTGTTTTCGCTCCCCCTGTCCGCGTGTCTGTCGGCCACCACGTCGCGCGCGGCCGCATGGATCCCGGACCATCCGGAACTGGCCGAGAACGGATGGGCGCCCGTGATCACTGCGGTTCTGTACGAGCTGGCGTTCCGGGAGTCGTCGCAGTGGAATGCGTACTTTGGTTCGTGTTACGTTGTACGCGTCGGACACGCGCGTCCTTAACCAAATGCAAAATAGATATCCTGCCGGCGTCACTGGAAACTCCACTGTTTTGGCCCGAGTCCGACCTGGCGCTGCTTGTGGGCACCGACGTGCCCAAGCGCATTGCACGGGAAGAGTCCCTGTCGCTGTACACGAACGTGATTTTGCCCGCCATCGAGCACCACGTCGCCGACCCGGCCGACCGCGCGCGGTTCTCGCCCGACCTGTTCCTGTACGCCGGGTCGCTGCTGATGGCTTACGGGTTCAGTGTTGGGTCCCTGACCGGTACCGGTCACGACAGCGACGATGATGATGAGGAGGAAGACGATATGCCGATCCTGGTCCCGCTGGCCGACACGTTGAACGCAGTGCACCCGAACTCGGCGCACCTGCAACGCTCGGGCGACACAGTAGCCATGGTGGCGACCGCCGCGGTGGCCGCGGGAACGCAGGTGTTCAACACTTATGGCGACCACGCGTGCAACGAATTGCTTCGCCGGTACGGGTACGTCGAGTGGGAGAAGCGGTTT